CCTATTAAAAGTCAAAATCTCATTTAAATATAATCATGTTCATTATCAATATAAATTTTAAATAATTAAATTTAAAATTAATGATAATTTATTAAATAGCCAAAATTTTAACATATACTTATTTCTTTCTTACTTATCACAACAGCAATACAACATACAACATACAACATATCAAGCACAAACTTACCCATCATTTCCCTTCATTCAACATCTAATCAAAACCATATCGAGCAGACGTTAAAATAGCAATGCCATTTTTATAAATCAGGACATGAAAATGAACCTGCAAATTTAAAATGGAAGGTAGTTTTATAAGTGGCCAAATTCATCTCATACATATCACAACATCAAACAGCTGATACAGCATACAAAGTAAAAACTTTCCGATCATGTTTTCTACGCCAAACAACTAATTAGAACCAAATCTAGCATTCATTAAAGCAGCAATGGCATCTTTATAAGTTTGGAAATGACAAAGAAGTTTCTCTCTTGGAGGCATGTAATCCTTCAGCACTTTCGAGTCAACAGTTTCCTTCATCCATTTGCATAGAACAGGATGCTTTTCTTCATTGATAACATTCACTCCAACTACTTCTTGAGCTATTTCAGCCCAGTAAACAGAGCAAAACACTACAATGTCTACAATTCCTATCTCGTCTCCTCCAAAGAATTTTTTACCCTTCAAAGCTCCTTCCATGGTGGTAAGATTCAGCTTGGACTCTGCCAAGGTTTGTTGTTGCTTGTCTCCCTCTGTCCAACATGACATCCATAGAGGAAGACTACACTGTATAAAGAGAAAGTAGAATGTTAAAGAAACCAGAATGAGGTTATCACTCAATGTTTGTACGTAACTGTGAAGTAAAGTAATAGGAGGGTTGTTTCTATAAATTCAGATTTAGTAAATCTTCGAGAGGATTAAAATTTGAAAATTGAGTGGCACGAAAATGATTAAATGTCAACAAAAAATTTCTATTTATATCAAGATTTAAGTTTACGAGCAAAAAAAAAATCTATAAATTCATCAAATGTCATGAATGATGAGATTTAACAAATTGTGAATTTAACAAACAAATTGGGTTAAAATGGGATTTATCTAAATAGTCGAGGGGAATTAAAAGTTAAATTTTATGCATTAATGATTAAAGTCATTTTCAATAACAATAAAAACATAGCTTATGAGTGAGATCTTACAAATAATATTTCTACAACCATTATGCTTTTCAATTATCTAATATAGAAAATTTTGAATACTCATAAGTGTCATAATAATGGAAAATAAAATAATAACTAAATTTAATATATTTAAACATTTAAGATCTATCATACAAAATAACCAAAGTTTTAAAACTTATTAAATCTTATTTATTGCTTTACTTATTGAGTTAAGATAGTAATTAATCATAACTGATTATATATTTGATGCTAATAATTTAAAAAACATATATTATTGTTAAGTTATAGAGCTTAATTTTTAAACCTATAATTACTAATTGAACGAAATTGTATAAAATTCCTATATATTTTTATATAG